ACATAAACAAATGTAATTTGAAATAAAAAGATGAAATTTTGGCCTAAACAAATGTAATTTGAAATAAAATGATAATGAGAAGAAATTGTTGGAAAAAAATTAAATATTTATGAATAAAATGATGAAATTGTGAGAGAGAAATTTGAAATTAAAAAGCAAATAAAAAGGAGAGAAAATAGGAATAAAAAGGAGAGAAAATAGGAATGATATAAATTTTTTCCAACAAACCTATATTTATAATAAATAAAAAAGTTAAAAAAATAAAATAAAGCTAAATAATTATTTTAATAATAAACCAAATGAAGAACCGTTGCTTATGTTTGTAACGTTCTACAGCTGGAATAACATTTTGTTGACATTTTCAATGCCAAGCTGGCAAACCAATTTGAAAAACCACCGTTGAAGTTGGTCTAAGAGCACCTCCAATTGTGCAACCCATTTTTAGGTTCTTTATGGGACCCACTATTTTAAAGCAACTCATTCAATTTTCACTCCAATGGTGCAACTCCAAAGAACCCATATTGGATCCCACCACTTTACTTAAAATATATTATTTATATTAAATTTATTTTATTTAAAATTATAGTTTAAATATTTAAATTTTAATTAATATAAATACAAATTAAACAAATAAAAAAAGTTATAAAAAAAAATAAAGTCGTTGCACAACGGCTAAATGATTATTTTAATAATAAAAAAAATGAAGAACCATTGCTTATGTTTGTAACGTTCACCAGTTGGAACAACTTTTTGTTGAAAATTTCAATGCCAAACTGGCAAACCAATTTGAAAAATCACCGTTGGAGGTGGTCTAAGCATCCACTAAAAGAACTACACAACCTCTTGTCAGGTTCAACGTGAAAAATAGACCAATCAGAAGACATCTCTATGTCCCGATGTACACTCTCCAATACTTGAACCATACTAAAAATGTAAGTTTTTCCCACTAATTATACCTCCACCCTAAAATTACTGAGTGGCGTTGGCGGGAAACTTAATACCTTTCTGGTCCTTTCGAACCATCTTCTTCTCACTATCAACAAAAAGAAAATGTTTCTCATAAGTTTTAGAACGACCCTTGAAGTCAAGCTGATCTTTAACTTCTTTGTTGTTGGGTTCCCGGTTATTCAAAGTCCTAAAAAATTGATGTAAGGATGTGTCTCTAGATCATCCCAATACGCCTTAATAAACTCTGAATCTGCCACATGTAACTCAGAAGAAGAGGGACCAGGGTCAACTTCCCTAAACTAAGGATTCACGGGTTCACTACCATTTTTTAGGGAACCCGACTAGTTCAGAGTTCTCACTACGAACTATGAGATTTATAAGGGTGGATAACTGCTAAAGGAACAACATTCAATATTTCTAGGTCTACTACCCTTGTGCAAGATGAAGTGTTGGTTATATCTTTTCCACCGGGTATATCTATAAAGTTTGTCGGTACATCTCTTACGTTGGCCATTTTGAAGAAGAAAAAACAAGAAACAACAATAAACAAGAGAGATATAAATGGTACCTGAAAAAATTGGAGATATGAAGATAAGGATATGGAGAAAGATTTCTCAAAAACATAAGATGTCAAGTGAGTTGTGAAATATGGAAAGAAAAGCAAACAAACATAACAAGATATTGTCGGAGCTCAGGGAAGGAATATCAGAGTTGGTGAAAAAGAGAAGAGATAATTTGAGTAAAGAGTAAAAACGTAACTTGAAAGGAGAAATAATATTTATATAATGTAGCAAGGTAGGAAAATCGATGCTCCATAACGAAGGAAGGTATGAAGATGAAAATTGACGGATAAATACTCGAGATCACAACAACACTTGAGCACCCTAAAGTGAAGCCTCACACCTTACCCTAAGGGCCTAGGGCCATGTGTAAGAACGGTCCTACAAAACCTTTCAATGACAAAACTGACATTTAATTGGCTTATTTTCAAGGTCACTTACTCTCACTTGCCAAGCCTCATCCACTTTTGCAAAGCAAGAGTTCGTCATGAGGACCATGGTAGCAACCGGATACTCCAAGATCTTCACATTACTACGCAATGGTAGACCATGGAAAAAATTGTTTCGGGGCGGCTAAAGGCTCTAACAGGATAGGTCTAATCACAAGAAGGCCCAGTCCGAAAGCGTGCCCACTAAGATGCTGAAGATTTTGTGCACCCGTAATCATGAAACTCAAACTCAATCTTTGACTGCGGATGATCGCCCACTCAGATATTATCAGTCAGTCATCTGCATCTCACCCTGAAAATCATGGGGTAGTTCTATTTGCCTTTCTTCTATAAGATACATCACACAAGATTCACATGTATGCTCTCATCATAACTCATTTTACGATCTCTCATATTTGACTGACTTGAATATTAAAGTATTAAACTTGCAAATCCATCTTACTCTACCGTACCAAAGAGAACTTGCCGCCACACCATTCAACATCCCAGTTTGCATTTACCATTTCTAATTCTTGATAGGAACAATATTCATTTTCTGATTCTAGATAGGAACAATATTCATTTAAAAATACTTTTTTATATTAGTTGTTTCTTCTGTTTAATTGATTTATGGTTGACTATGTATGTGGTGGCAAGTGATAAAGTTAGAAGTGCAAGCGTAAAAGGTGCTATCTTCTTTCTGCCCAAAGTTCACGGATACCTTTCATGAACTGATCTTAAAGTATATTATTATTTGATTCTCTATAAGAAAATTTCAAACGTATGTTTTACATTCAATTGGTTTGAAGAATCTAAAATTGGATTATATTCGTTTTCTATATGGAATAGTTTTTCCAAAACACACCAGGAATCTTCGAACTCTTGGAAGAGATTTTTTCCATACAAAAAAACAATTATTATAAATTAAAATCAAGAATGTCAAAACATATTCTTAACAATCCAAAAACCGCACAGTCATTTTTTCCCCTTTGCTTCTTTTGTCACATCCTTTCTATTTTGTACGAAGAAAAATCAACTTTGCATTTGTTTTGGCCTGAAATTGTTCCGAGTGATATTATTCGCACTACTGAGTATATTCTTGATTCAACAGATAAAGTATTAAATCAATCAAACCTCATGAAGGTCAAAATAGACTTCTACCATTCTCTTAATGCCAAATATGTTGTAAAGTAAGATATTTTGTATTTGGAAATGAAAATTAAACCATTCAAGAACAATTTTTTTTTTTTTTTTACTTTTGTATGTCAATCTTAACTTAAATATATGGGATGTCCGAGATATCGAAAAACTCCTGTCTTAATATTTTAATATTCATGCATAATTATTAATGAGATTAAAGATAATTTTATATTATTATCTAATAGAATTATAATATTCTGTCATATTATACTATTATTTTAAAACTAAATATGAGTCGCAGAATATATGTATATAATTAGTTGATAATATAAAAAAATATTTTACATTGTCATTGTATTTTTTTTTTCATTATCAATTAATTTAATACTAATGACATAATTTCATTCTTTAGAAGTGATTATATAAAATTTCTTAATGTGTGTCAGATATTTATGCACAATGAGATTTATTTACTTATTTATTAAAATTACATATAAATCAATGTTATATAAGAGTTATATAATAAATATTAATACAAAAATAGATGGAAAATGAGTAATAAGATGCGGTGTTGTTGTTTCTTTTTAGATGATAAATCAATTTACTTAAAATTTATATTTATGGAATTAGAAGACACAATATTATGTATGAGTTTTTGAATCCGCTTTAACGTATCAAATTCTCAGCCAAATATTAGAAAAATAAAAGTGACAAATACAAATAGTATGAAAATATATTTATTATTAGAACACACATTCTTATATTTGACTATTTTATTTAAAGCAATTTTATTTAAAACAATTTTAAGAGTTGTATATTTCAGTAAAACATTTGATCCTCTTATCAATGATGAGAAAACTTTATCAAGCTCACACATACATATTTTCTTCCTACTCAACTATAGATAAAAATATCTGATGATTTAAGTGTTGATATCTCTGCTAAAATAATAAAAAGATTCACAAACATGTTTTTCTTCATAGATATTTTGATTCCTGTTGAAATATATCAGGTAAGTAATCTTGTGAGAAGTGTGGTTCTGTGGTTCTATTTAGAAGACTTTTACCATTCTAAGACCTTATCTCATATTGAATCCAAATTAATATGACTTTTACCATTCTAAGTCCTTATCTCAAATTGAATCCAAATTAATATCCAAAGTTCAGTTACTCAAGATGGTATATTTTTTGGAAGAAAAAGAGAGTTGTAAACTAATATCATGAATATTTGTACCGACATAAATTTTAAAACTAAAAAAAAAATTCTATTTATATAATATAATAAAATAGTAATTTCACTTTATGCTTGATGGTAAGTTCAAGAGAAAAAAACATTGGAGTAGGGAAAAGTAGCTCTGGAAAATTTAGCATCACAGCATACTATATGGTCCATACAACAAGCCATGTGGGCCTAAAACTCAGTAATTGTATCCAAGATTCATGAGAAAGGCATGAACATATGAGCACATTTTTATATGAACATATTTTCTCTTGCTAAAAAATTTAATTAGTACCTACTTTTCTTCATTCACTAAATTATTCCAAAGCTTACTCTCTTTCACCAAATGGTCAAACTTGTCATGGTGAATTGGTAATACCTCTCTTTCATGCCACCATCGAAGCCTTCAGTTTACCTTGACATCATGTAGTGGGCCCACAATCATGCTATTTTGATGGAAAGTTATAGTTGCATTTGCTTTTCAATTACTTTAAATATTCCACATACAAATCATAATTGTGAATTTTATATTTCTATGGCAGTTATAAAATTGTTTGCTTACAAATATTTTGACAGATTCTATGGTGGACCACCTTATTTCCTTTCTCTCTTTTTTTTTTTTTTTTTTCTAGATTAACTTTTGATAATTATACATGAATATACTAATTGTATATTGTGACATCACAAAAACTGCTTGCTTAATCTGTCATCTGAAAGGTTCAAGTGGAGTAGATTCTTCAAGAGACTGTGCTGCTTGAAAACATTCTGCAGCTTCAACTAATGATGATACTGTACCCTCAGCTTTGTGAAAGAGGCCAAGATTATACCAAGCAGAAGCATTCAATCTATCGTGTCGTAGTGCATCCGTCAAAAAACTTCTGACTGCAGGATTTGATTTATTACTGCAATGTCGAAGTATTTTAGCAGTGGAGATTAAGCTCAGAACATGGCCAGGATCAATGTTTAAAGCATCAGCGAAAGCTTTTAGAGCTTCTTTGTAAAGGCCCTTTGCTTCATACATTATACCTGTACAATTTGAAGTGAACGGTGGCCTATTTAGAAATTCACAAATGGTTTAGAGACCGACAGAGTAATTAAACATTAAGAATGGTTTCTGTATTATACAATATCCGGCAATTATTTCAAGTAATAATAATCTGTTAACATCGTTTCAATCTCAATAAGAAAAATTAAATGGAAAAATATGCAGCTCAAAGATAAAAATCATATATGTTTACCTAGAGCATGACATCTAGAAGCGGAGTATGGTTTGATGGCCTTAGATTTTGAAAGACACGCCTCTGCATCATGCCATTGGGAAAGACTGATATACACATGAGCAAGATCATGCCATATTTCCAATTCCAAGTTCTTAGCACGATCTCGGCCGTCCTGTCACAAATAGTATCAATAAAAGGGTAAGCAACTAGAACAGAAAACATAATACTTTTACGCTTACAAAGCTTCTTCCAAGAACAAGACGAAAAGGCTACAACAACGAACCTTAGATAACTTCTTCCAAGAACCAAAACTCTTTCTCTGAATTTGAAGAACAGCGAGAAGCTGAGTGTATGTCTCGATGGCATTCTTTAACTGGTTCTGTGCAATTTGAATTTTAGCTTTTGTTCGCAACAAATCACCTTGATCCCATTTCCCAGTCTGATCCAAAGCAGCGTTAATAATAGATTCCGCATCCAAAAACTTTTTTTGAGCAGATAATATCCGTGCCAATAATAACCATCCTTTAACATTTGAACCACCTTCTAGTTTTACAACGTACTTTGCATAATAAAGTGCATCATCCAACTTCCTTTGTTCTGCATATTCTAAGCTGAGATGGTAAAGTACTAGCGGGTCTATCATTCTGGTCATTCTACCAGCAGTCTCCAAGGCTTGAAGTGCCTCAGATTGTGTCTTAAACTTCTCAGAATCAGAAACAGATAATTTCGAGTGTGCTGATAATGAAACACCAAGATATAATTTTGCAACATTTTCTAACTGCGTACATTTTCCATCCAAACTCTCAACCGCTCTCTGAGCGAAGCTTACCCCTTCATCTGCAAGGGTAGGATTCTCACAACAAATCTTAGAAGCCATTAACAAACCAGGAACATGTTTTGGGCTTTCTCTACCATTCAACAATTTTCTTAGAAGATCAAGTGCCGTTGAGTCCTTATCTGCTCCATAATAACAAAGAGCTAGATCATGGAATCTTTCACTACGATGAATAGTCCCGGGGAGCAATTCTTCCAAATGATTGGCTAAACTTGACAGGCCTCCCGAAATAGACAGTGCAAACGAAAGGTGGTCTAAAATTGAAGGATCCCACTCAATTCTATTGAGAGAGACTTTTCTTAGCAAAATCATTAAAAGAAGAATGGCCTCTTCTATGTTGTTTCCTGGTACAAACGAACCATCCATTTGGGAACGCAGATTAGGGGGCATTACTTCTCCTCCACTATATAGAAGAAAAACAACAAATTCTTTTTGAATCTTTGCTGTAGTCCCTGCATCAAGATTCCATATATTAAGGAGTGCTCTCCGGTAAGACAAAGTAGCTTCACGCGGACAATCAGCAAGCTTCCACAACTCCGGAAGCAGCTCTACTGCCTTGCTCACGGTCTCCTGCAATTTACATTCAGCACCAAAGTTATCAGGCAAGCCTTCAGGTAATGAAGATTCCACTATGTCCATAATAACTTTGCAAGATTGAGCAGCTTCTGCAAGAATGATTGGAACTATTAGATTACACTTTGACTAATGTCCTACTGTGATCGAAACCAATTTTATAATAACTTATGCATGCTTTTCTGAGCTGATCTTACTTCCTACAAAAACTCCACATCAACTATATAACAGGTTCAGATGGAAAAGAACTAATGCAACAACATAGACCTTATTCAAAAGAAATTTCATATCCTTAAGACCAAGGTAGTCAAACACTAGATCTTAAGTAGAATTGGACGGCCCGTGAAAGATCGTTAAACTAGAATCGTAGCACGGCACTTAAGATCTTACCGAAGGGCAAAGCAGTAATTTGACATATATATACACACACACAAAAACATGAAAATTATAATACATGGACAAAATAACCTATAAATGACAAATTTCAACAAATTTAATTAATAACACAACCATCATCCCATAATTTAACAAGTTCAAAAGACTTTGTTCAAAATAAGCAGTTCAAAAAACATAAATCTAACTAACAAGTCGAATCATCTAAGATATTATGTAACTTCCATATCAATATAGTCATATAAAAGACAACTTCAGCACAAAAGATAGTAAGATCTTAAGAGCCAGCACTCGATCTTAACCATAAAGTGCACGAAAAAAGTTTTTTCTAAGATCATAGCTCTACAAGGCAACTTCAGCATGTAAGATTGTAAGATCTTAAGACCAACACTCGATCTTGACTACACTGCTTAAGACACATAGCATTTGAAATGAAATACATGTACCAGATATTAAGGGCATGTAAGTGCTTATGTATAATTAAAAAAAATATGTTTTCACATAAGTTATAAGTTGTTTTTATAAGCTATCTTAGAGAGCTTATGGAAATACTGAAAACAATTTATGGACATGTCCTAGGCTATTTTCATAAGCTTTCCAAACAATGTCACAAGTGTTTGCCTTACCAGATAAGTTCAAATAAGTCAATCCAAAAAGACTCTAATTGTTGTAGGAAAATAATGTGGATCACAAGTGAAAGATCTACCATTGTGCAGGTGTAAAAAGGAAGAAAAAAAAATCTTGAAGTAGAAAACAAAGAGCAAAACTAAGAATCAAACGACCAACAAAGTTACCTTTAAACCTTTCAAGAACCTGCAAAGATTTAGTTTTAAGGAAAAGTGCTTCAAACAATAATCCAACAGAATGTATAGACATTTCCGGTTCACCATGATTATGAGAATGTCTCTTTCGTCGTTCTCCATTTCTGGAAAGCGCAATTTTGATCTTAGGAGTCACAGCAGCTATATCTATTCCCTCAAATACATGTAAAGCCGCTACTAAATTTCCCTTCTGATACTCATATCTTCCTAGCAGAGCTCTGGCTTCCTGCATAATACATACATAATTACGTAACTTTCACTTAGAACTTCGAATTTCAACAGTAACTATAATTTAATCACAATGAACTAACCTCATAGTTCAATACGCCGCTTTCACGCAACGATAATTCTGCTTCTTCTATATTGCCGGTGTCCGGTTTGAGATCGAGTTTCCCATGTAGGAAAGAATGGCCGCTTGCGGAGAAGAAGTCGTTGGTTACAAGAGATTGAGAGGAATGGTAGGTTTCATCTGTTGCCCCTAATTGGTCCCCTGAGCGTAGGAACTTCATTCTTCTAGGAAGAAAAAGGAAGAGAATTGAGAAGTGTTAAACCCTAGAGAGAGAGAGGGGAATGAGAATGAAGTAGAAGAGAGATCTAACGTGAAGGGAATGACGGAAGGAAGGAAGAGAAGGTGCGCACGGATGAGATTGAAAGAGGGGTTGGGTTTGGTTTGTGAAAGTGTAAGTGTGTTGTCGTGGTGTGGGGACCGGTGGGTGATTTTAATTAACTGCTGACGGGGACGGGATGAGTTTTGACGTTTGTGTGTGGGCTGTGTGGTGGCTGGATGTCATTAAAATTAAAAACGGTTTCATTAACTATATTTCACATCCATCTACTTCACGCTCACGCCTACCACTTCTTCCATCTACTTCACGCCTTCAACAAATTTCATCTACCTTTAAAATTTTTTAATTATTTTTAAAATGAATGTTATTTGATTAACACATTACAACTATTTATAAAAATTGTTATGGTTAAGCAGTTCAACAAGACTTGTTCAAGTTGAAGACTCAATTTATTCAGATTCGCAAACATGGGTCCTTTCATAGGGTATTATATACTGAAATGGGCGCACCAATTCATCTCAACAGGTGAATTCATCAAACGCCTCACACGAGATACTATAAACATCAGTTCTCACACTCATATTTAAAGAGTCACTTCCTCCGCCAAAAACAAATGTTTTTGCTCTAGTGACTGAACTAGTTGGTGCATGTCACCATATCCCGACATTTTAACCATTTAGACAATGAAATTTTTAAGTTATGTCATCGTTTCAAGAGTAGTTCAAAGGTCAAACGTCAAAGAAACTCTCACATACATCACAATTACAATGGTTTGAACCATAAATATTTTAATATCTCAAATGACTCCAAGACACCCTCAAGATGAGAGGTGAGAAAGAACTCGTTACTAGTATATATAACATGATACATCAATAGAACATGCACCTCATCAACGAGAGACTCGTTCATATAGAAACAAAAGACTCTTTCATATATCACAACTCAACTTAAGGTGTTGTAGCGTGGCAACACCAGTGTCACCCTAATAGCCACTCCAAAAATGTGAGGTCATTGCAAAAGAGAGCGTCTGAATTACCAAGGTGTCACCATTACCGTTGTCAAAATTCTTTCCCTATGACTCAAGTGCGATGATTATAGCCATAATCCTCTTAAATAACTTCTCCTTATAGGTCACCCCCTGCACCACTCACAAATGAGAGATGAGCACGAAACCAATCTCAAGGCTTTTTTTCACCATCAAAAGAGTTCATTCTTCAAACAAATTATTGATTCAAATATCTCTAAGACTCTTGAAAAACCATCAAAACTGGACAATTATGACAAAATTGGGGACCAAGGCAAACACATAGATCACGTGGACATTATGCTCGATTATTATCATGCCAAAAGTGTAGTGAAGTGAAAGTTGTTCGTTTTGACCCTAAAGGAAGCTATCGTGACGTGGTTTAAGACCTTAGAAAAAGGTTATATCAACTATTGCAGAAAATTGTACGACGTGTTCACATCATTGAAATATCATAAAAAATGATAGTTTTCCATAGTGGAACCCACTAGAAGAAGAGGGAGACCCTCCAAGAGTATATTGACAGGTTTACTAAGGTAGTAGTGAAAGTGGAAGGATCTAACGACGCCTTAAAGTGTTGGATATTCAAAATAGGTTTGAGGATAAATTGTATGTTCCGCAAAAAAAAAAAATTAAGACTTAAAGTCGTGAGGAGTATGATATGGAAACTTCTTGGCCCAAAAAGTATTTTAAAGGGCTGAGGTCATCGATATTGAATGTGTGATGTAGGAAATTGTATTAGTATATTTGTATATGAACCAAAAAGGACAATGTCGAGGCAAGGATGTGATATCTCGTCCATAGTAATACATCTTACATTTTCACGCTGGCAGGGGTAGAGAATGAGAACCCATAATCACCTTCTTTAATTAAGACGTTGTTGGTGTTCTTCCCCACAATAATGACTCCATGGTCGTCATGTTTCAGTATGACAAATGGGATGTGAAACGAGTGTTGATCAACCATGGTAGCTTATAGATGTCTTATTCTAGATCACATTCCAAAGACTTTGACTCGGCCTCAATAGCATCGGGAATTCTAAGGTTCTCTTATTGGCATGTCAAGCGAACAAGTTTAGGTGAAGGGCCACATAACGCTTATAATGATGTTCGGATCACAACCAAATGGCAAAATGATCAAAGTGAAATATCTCTAGCGGATGCCTTGTCTCCTAACAACGTAGTTGTGGGAAAACCCACCCCCAACTTAATAGGGATAGTCCTGTCAACCCTTCATGTAAGCCTTACATACTTGTTACTTAATAGAAGAGTTGGTGCAGTTCAGGGGGATCAGGACATCGCACATGAATGCTATTAGAGTAGCTTTGAAATGAGGAAGGAACCCATTGCTCTCCCCCCCCCCCCCCCCCCCACTCAAGAAGTATGTAACACTGATGTAGTAAGCTGGGACCCTAGACTAAGAGCATGCAATGAAATACTCAACCCAAAAAATACTTAAAAGAGGTTCATATTGGTCCCTTAGACCACCAACTTACCATGCCTGGCACCTCTCTATCTGAATTTGAACAGGAGGAACTAGTCTCACTTATATGAAGGAACATGAACCTGTTCGCATGAGCGCCCTCAGAAATGCCAAGCAAAGATACTAGAGTGGGGATCCATTGTATCACTATTGGTCCCATTGTCAAGCTAGTGCCTTAGAAGAAAGACAATGTCGGTGAGGAAAAAAAAAGAAAATATTAATGAGGAAGTATAAAAGTTAACAAGCGTAGGCTTCATACAAAGGTAAAATACCCATATTGGCTAGCTAACGTAGTCCTGGTAAGGAAGGCTTCAGACAAATGGCACATGTGCGTAAACTTTAGTGACCTTAAAGCTGCGTACCCTAAAGATCTATAACCTCTACCTAATATAGATCACCTGATTGACGAATATTTGGGCTGCAAACCACTGACTTTCATGGACGCATACTCAGGGTAAAACCAAATTAATATGGATTATGTAGACGCACCCAAGACAGCTATCATGTCCAAACATGGCAATTATTATTGCAATATCATGCCCTTTGGGTTTAAGAACACAGGATCCGCCTATTTGAGTCTCATGGATGAGTCTCATGGCAATTACTTGCTAAATAATAGTACATATGTGTAGTAACCCTACGCTAGTAGAGTTTTCCCGAGGCTTTACTATTTCTAGATGTTAAAGCAAGCTCACAAGGGTGATGAGTCTTTCTATGAAGGTGTTTTTGTGGGGTTAGAGCAAGCTCACAAGGGTGGGAAGCTTTGTATCTAGGCGTATTCTATATGAATATGAGGTTTTCTTTCCTCAACTTGGTTGAGGTATTTTTAGAGACCTATGGGCTTGGATTCAGGGTCTCCTAAGTAGCAATCGTCTGTCCTTGATTGTGGGACTTCTTGACTGCCTACTGTTAGACGATGAAACTAATCTAGAAGGGGGGTTGAATAGATCAGTAATTTTTAATAATTTGCGCTTTTAAAATTTTGTTCTAAAATATGCGAAAGCGGCCTCAGATTAAAAATCGTCTAAACGAACCTTTATTAAAAAGATTGGATATGCGAAACCGAATGGAATAATTTTGATGAGATGATAAAATCAATAAGTTTCTCAACAAATTATTCAAATAAAAGCCACTTAAGGTGAATCAATTTCTAATTATTAATTGAGGATAAAATTTTAATTGACAATATATCAAACATTTTGTGTGTTATCAATATATTAAACACTTGGCGTGTGAAACATACCAAGTCAAATTTCCGTTGATTTTGTTGTGCAGAATTTTTCACACTTGCA